GCAGGAAATCCCAAGTGTCCTACAGAATCACCACGTGAAGATGAGAAATTTGACAAGCTCATGTTCCCACTTGTCATGCATATTACTCAGCTACTGACACAATTACAGAAAATAACAATATTAGTTGAGTATGGAGCGGATTGCTCCCTATTAAATAGGAGACCTCCCATAATTCTGAAGATGGAGTTACTGAAATAGGTCAAAAGTTAGCCTGAAAACGGCAAGTTTCAACATACGGCCCAAATGCATGGTAGAACTTGAGCTATTACGTAATAACCTTTCGTTGAGCAACAAGATGGCACAGTCTAGTGTATAGAGCTGAGAGGGCAGAAAACAAGGAAAGTCCTAATGTGTTCCGGGCCTCAAACATGTAGTATCTCGGAATAGCATAATCTCAGATCCACACTCTACCTAATATTATATTGCCACTACATTGTCACTTTGTTACGACCTAAATGCATGGTAGATCAGTATCAGTACTAAATACACGTTCCCATAACCATTCAGCTTACTAAAAATCCCCATACAAGTTACGACTTCATACTAGGTTTAATTTTTCCAGATACGCAGCCAAGCTGCATTGTACCTTGCGACTGACTGGCTTTAGCAAGTACGATTACTAGAAATAGCACTTTTAGCAGAGGCACAGAACTTCTAACAGTAGTATCCTAGCCCTAGCAGTGTAGGCATAGGAGACAACCAGGACATGCCCCCAGTCTTAAACGCCAACTCTACGCAAAAATAGCAAAAATCCAGGTCCCTAATCCTACGTGAGCTCGAGAGAAGACGGGCCCAGACCTGACTCCCATCAAATGTCATTTCTGATCAAATAGTAGCGTCCGTAATAGTACCAGCACTACAATCACTCAGATACACCGCTAGAAGCAGCAGTTGTGGTAGTACAAACACCACAATGACAGTACGAGTCGTGGCAGTAGTAGTGAACAAATTGGTCTGAGTACTTCTGATAATGCTGCTCCTATAACTACCACTGCTACTCAGCTCATTCCGGAGGTTTAGGGGAGTTAATCTGCACCGCAATCAACTAATATTGCTATATCCTATAACAGTTTCAGTAGCTGAGTAATAAGCAATAAGCATAACTATAGCTGGATATGGCAGCAATTCTATAGTAAGTCTGAGGAAGGTGAGATAAAGGCATGGTTACTATTGAGCTAACCCTGCAGAAAGATGGTCCCCTGGGGCTGTGCGTTGTCTCTTGAAAGCTGCACCCAGTGACTATAAAAAGCGGCATACGGTGGACATCATCGAAATCAGTGGTCGAACCATCATCTACCTGATACTATATCGTCACTATATTGCAACTAGGTCACGATCTAAATGTATGGTAGATTAGTATCAGTATCAGTATTGCCAATACAAGCGAACATGTCCCAGCGATCGAGTCTTCTTCTCAGTATCAGTATTACATACAGGTT